GTGGTGGCAAGTCACTATCATGGAAATCACTTTGAAGGTAATCAATGTTAGAAACATATTAACCCTTTGATGATGGTGATGGTAGCTTGTAGTCATAACCCATTGGATGGGTGATTATTAAGAAAAAAATGAAACTTAACATTACATCCTGATTTAGATCATCAAAGTTCAGGGCTCGGAGAGTATGTAAAGAATCACATGGCTCATGATAACTACAGTATTTCTTATCCTTGTCACTCAAATTCACCAGAATCACTGTCAAATCTTGGGGATAGTCACTGTCCTTACTTATGTCACTGTCACTATACATGGGAAGGTCATCCTTGTCTCTAGAATCAAATATAATGCCGTTAATTTCCTCCTCGAGGGGCATTGCACATGAGAGGATGCAGTACATCTTGATTCAGCCATGGTCCAGTTATTACTTATGGGCAAGAGGCTTACCTTGAGGCAGTTGCCAAAAGGCCTGTGAAAAATATATATAATGCAACAGTTGTGGGATATGTCTAGCGTGCTGGAACCCTCCGTTCCGCATCTGTTATGGGATATGTTGGCAAAGGGTTAAAGGAATTGAGCATACTCAGGATATAAATTTCATTGGAAGTAAATCAATACATGATGAAACATACAAGAAAAATATAGTCATGAGTAAAGTATACTGTAAATACCGGGTATGTGTAAATTATGCGAATTACTGAAAAAGTTCTGTACATCTTTTACATCACCTTTGACCACAGTCAGAAAGGGATGTGGTGGCCAAGTGGATAAGACACTCACCTCCTACTGTAAGGGTCTCTGCTTTATTCTCAGAGCACTTCAAACCTACCTAGTTGTGAACAGATACTGTACCTAATTTTACAGTTGGGGAATGGAATACAGTTGAGCACCATGCTGGCCATACTTCCTCTTTGTATTCTGATTGAGAATTTTCAGTCTGTGGACCTGCCCTTTGGCCAATGAGAATTACTTCCACTATTTCAAAATGTAGTCTAGTAGAAGAATACTGTATGTGATTATTTTCAAAACCGTATACAGGTAGAACTCCTCTAATTCAGCACCCTTGGGAT